GTGAAAGAAGTCTGTTTCTCTTGCGACTTGCACATCTGCTCCTTGAATAAAGTCATCGTGTGTGCAGGCAAGTGCAACGTGCGCTCTGGGACGTATGATGGTTGAGTCATGGATATCGCCAATACCTTGCTCTGTTGCGTATGACCTCAAAGATTCCTCAAATTGATGTCGTTGTGGCGGGTGAAGCAGCAAGTGAATAACTTCGGCCAACATTGGTACTACTTGCCCCAAAATATCACTATCGCTTAGTCTAAACCATCCTAACGTCAGTGTTGCAAGGTCGGTTGATGTGATTACATTACGACCTGTTCTCTCTTCTTCCAAAACTACTGATCAGTTCTCCTCTAGTTCTCTTCCTTCTGACAACTCATACGTGTTCTTCTAAAATAGTTGCTTGCTGGATGTGCCGCACCATTTGTTTTGAAAGGTTTCTACGATTCGATGCTCTATACGGATCTTTGCAGAAGCGGGTGTGATTATGCTCCAAAATATTGACCGCAAAACTGTTTATGATTCCAGATCGCTCGACAGCTGCTCTGAATTTATTCATGTCATGCATTTTAGTTATATTCCAATTCGACTTTTGTACGTGGCTAAAACGACTGTTCGTGAAGTTCATATATTCAGCCAAAAGAATATCGAACCTATCGAGAGACTGCTTTGTGTGTTTTGTGACGCGAAACATACTGGCATAGTATTCAAGAAACATTTCGCACCATTTCACAATGTCGCGTTCTTCTACATTATCTAGAAAGTTGTGCAAGATGAATAAGATGACAGTCATGACAACTCGATTTTGCTTCGCTTCAAAACGATCCTCACGAGTGAAATAATCGACTCTTGTTGTAACCGACAATATAAGCTCTTAAAATGTGAGGTTTGCTCTATTGCTTATTTTCTTTAACCGAGCATCAAACTCTCCAAGCATCGCGGTCGTGTTTTGGAAAGACTTACATATATTTTTTGAACCCTCTACCATATACTCGAAAATACCATGATCTACTTTGTGCATTCGGTCCGGTTGAAGTGCATAATGGTAATCCAACATCAATACATTATTCAAACGACCCTGATTATTATTAAAATTATTTTGTTGGAGCTTAATAAATTATCCCAAAATATCTTTGACACGACAACGACACGCCAAACGACTTTTCTAGTGCCCTTTTTTTTTTTAATGAAATTATTATTAAAATTATTTTGTTCAAGCTTTATTCACAGTGTTCTGTCTTGGTCAATCTCCGGAGGTCACATCTTTTTTAGTTTTTTTTTTACTTCTCTGGAGGACAGAATCAGGTTTGGTCAGTGGAGAGGTGACAGCCAAACTCAACCACACAACGGTGAACAACCAAACTCAACCACACACAACGTAGAGATGCCAAGAAGCAGGTCTCATCTCACAAACATTGCCATGGACTCAGGATCAGGTCTATTCGAACAGAACACACCCTATGCTAGGAGTCTATTCAAACAGAACGCACCATAAGGTCACATCTTTCTGAGTTCTTTTTTTACTTCTCTGGATGACAGAATCAAGTTTGGTCAGTGGAGAGGTGACAATCAAACTCAACCACACAACGGTGAATAGCCAAACTCAACCACACGACGTAGAGATGCCAAGAAACAGATCTCATCTCACAACCATTGTCATGGACTCAGGAAAGGGTCTATTCGAGCATAACACACCATATGCTAGGAGTCTATTCAAACAGAATGCACCATTTGCTTTGCATTCGTTTACAATGCATATGTTCTATGTTCGGGCGAAGAAACTAGTCTGTCATAGGCTCCTAGCCATAAAACCAACTCTGTATGCCCGCTCAGAAAGAGAGAGAGAGATAGAGAGAGAAAAAAAAAAAAAAAAAAACAGCACCTCCCCCAAAGATTTCACCCGTCACACATGCCAGCAAACACAACACCTGACCAGTAAGAGCCCTGTTCAACTTGTCGGAAAACAGAGAGACACATAGATGACTCTCTCTTTGGGGGGCTGCTCCTATCACCACCAATCCCACCCCAGACTGTGTGTTAAAAGGAAAAAAAAAAAAGAAAAAAAATAGGGGCGGACAGAACTAGAGGGTACCCTTTTTTTTACTTTTTTTTATAGCACAATCTTGCAAACCACAGAAGAAGAAACTGTTCATACATCGAAAGTCAGTTGTCATACAACACTATCGAATGCTGATAAATGTCAGGACTCAAACCCATCTACATTCGGTCAAGTATCATCATCATCATCATGACCTCATGACAGCTACTGCTCACGCACGGTGAACATAACACAGGGGTTTGTCCAAGTTCATTGCTGGAAATTCCTTACTGGTCAGCATGTCTCTGTCGGTCGTACATTTGTCCAATGCATACGTCTGGAGACATGTCCCTGTCCGTCGTACGGACATCATGTCTCTGTTGCAGACTGTTCGTCTTACATTTGTCCGTACATCTCGACTCTCGCCCAACTTGGGCAACCCTTCGTCCTACCCCTCTAGGCTTTTCTAAAATTGCACGGAAATCTCCCCTGTGGAGCTCAAATCCAATCATAGCCCTGTACGAATTTGTTCCCAAACCGATCAAATTATCAAAGTCCCAGTTCAAAAACCCGGGCCACATGTAATTTCAAAATTTGACATTTCAATGTTTTTGAAATTGCCCCCACAAAAATATACGTCAGTATCCGCTGTAGCCGACTGAACAAAAATCTACATCAGTGTCTGCTGTAGCCGACTAAACAAAAAAATTTATGTCAATGTCTATTGTAGCCGACTAATCAAACCAACCCTCCAAGCTCAGCATTTCCAGTTTACAACTTTACGTCCTTTTGCGAGACTCAGATGAACACACAAACAGACAGCTGATTCAGAGTACAGCCTGTGACACTCCGAGTCTCCGACAACCCCGTGACACTCAAAAGTCAAAACTAATCCGAATAGACTCAATGGAGTTCAATACAAATATTATAGATTCATAATAGATGAGCTATACTTCTTTATTCCTCTCAAAAATATCTAAAATTGAAGCAAAATCTCAAAGAAATCTGAGCCCCTACTTGAACCGAGGCAAAACCCGGAATCTGCTCAACAAAAAACCTCAGATTTTTTATTAAAAAAAAAAAAAAAAAACTCAGATTTCTCAGACTAAAAACTGTTCGGGTTATTCATTGCAAGTTGCAACTGCCTTCCTCACACAGCCATCCCCCACCTCCCTCAACTCTCAAATGGTGACTGCGACTGCCTGGTATTGGCAGCCTGTTGTCTAGCTATTCCTAAATCCTCTAAACAAGTAATGCTTCCTATAGTTTGCAGTTGGTTCCCAGTAATGACCCACTTGATTTTGTGTGTGCAAGTGTGAGAGACAGAGAGAGAGTGAGAGACAGGGAGAGAGTGAGAGACAGAGAGAGAGACAGAGAGAGAGAGAGAGGATCGACGAGTTCGCCGCCTCTCTGTCTGTCTCTGTCTCTGTCTCTCTCTCTCTCTCTCTCTCTCTCTCTCTCTCTCTCTTCCCCCCTCCTTGTGAAAACGAGAAGATTCATTCCCGCTTTGCATTTCCGAAGCCGTTCGGGAATCATGAAGAGGGAATGGACCGATTCCGTTGTTTTTTTAACAGTAGTCGTTTAAACGTTGGGCCACAAGTGGTCGAGTGGCAAAATTGAAAAATGCAACGAAACGACGAGGTATTTTTTCCGCGCTCTAAACTATTTTTTTATTTTACTTATATTTTTCTTGAATTTAGGCGGGGGGGGGGAGTGGTGGTTTAACATTCACAAAGAGAGCGAGAGAGTGAAGAGGACTTGTGGTTTAACATTCACAGAGATAGAGAGAGAGAGGAGGAGTGGTGGTTTAACATTGAGAGAGAGAGAGAGAGAGAGAGAGAGAGAGGACATAGCGAAAAAAGTTGAGCATCTTGAAGCACACTAAAAAAACAATTGCAGCAAGAGTAAACTTTGCGCTAGCCCTAGTAAGCGAAACATTTGTACACAAGAAGTGTGCTCAACATTCAGAGAGAGAGAGAGAGAGAGAGAGAGAGAGAGAGAGAGAGAGAGAGAGTAAGAGAGAGAGGCTTAGGAGAGTATACAAACAACCACAGCAAGACGAAAACTTCTCTTCGTCGCTGGTCTTTGTGCCAGCCCGAGTAACCAACTACTCTAACACGTGTTGTGCCCTAAACTACACCACATTGCTCTACAACATCCTTGCCACGATGAAAAATCCTACACTAACCTACAATATCATCTACAGTAGCCTGCACCACTGCAAAGTCTGCCCCATTACACAAGGGCAACAACAAAGTGACTGCCCCATCACAGGAGGGCAACAACTTCCCAAAATACACAAGCGACTGGGGAGCAAGGCAACAGCATAGTGAACCTTAATTCAGCACAGCAGTTGTACTGCAACAAGAGCCTCAGGGCAACAACTTCCCTAAAATGAAAAAACTGAAATGGACCCCACCACTGCAAAAACACAACCCTTCAGCACAAACACGGAGAACAGGGACAATCCTTTGAGGGCTCAAGCTTACCCACACCAGCACAAAAATACAACCGAGAAGCGGCCGATTGAAACAGTCCTAAAAAACCATTATAGCACTATAATAGAGAGGAACGTCTAATTACTGCAAATCGCATTATAGCACTATAAACGATAAGAACACTCAAGCTGACCCCCACCAACACAAAAATACGACGGAAGCAAAAACACAGAGGGATGGATCCTCTTGACACAGTCGTTAGGATTAAAGCACTACAAACAAAGCAAAAACACTGAAACATTATAGCACTTTAACAGAGACGAACGTCCCAGAAAATCATTATAGCACTATAACAGAGACGAACATCCTAGGACTGCAAACTGCAAAAGAGAATTATAGGACTATAAAAGAGAAGAGGCCTCAAATTGGTCTGCACCAACACAAAAGTGTCACGGTAGCAAAAACACAGAAGCGAGGAATCCTCTTGGCACAGTCCTCAGGATTATAGCACTATAAAAGAGAGGAACTTTTAAGGACTGTAAACTGCAATTCAGAGTAGAAGAGGACTAGAAGTTGTCTCGACTAACTTTTGCTTCCGTCGGACTCCCTTGTGCTTGCCCCTGATGCAATAACACCCTTTTTGGCGCGTGGGTTTGTAACCTCGTCACCGGCGAGCTTCCGTTTCCTTGCCCTCGTTGTCATCCTGAGTGAGGAGTCTTGGCTGTGTGCAGGTCCCCCTGTGCCTGCTCCCGCTGTTGTTGGCGCGCTCGCTGTCCCTTGTGCGCTCGCTGTTGCTGCAGCTGCTGCTCCTGGTGGTATTTCTGTTGCTGCTGCCGCTGCAGGTGGTTCAACTGCTTGTGGTCGTGGCACTGCTGCTGCGAGTGTTGAGCGTGTTGCTGCTGCTAGTTCTGTTGGTTCAGCTGCTGCTGGTGCTGGTGCTGCAGCTGCTGGTGCTGCTGCTGTAGCACTTGCTCCTACAGAGGTCGTTGTTGGTGCTGCTGCTGGTACTGCTGCTCGTTCAGCTGCTGCTGGTGGTGCTGCTGCGACACTTGCTCCTGCTGGCGTTGTTGCTGCAGTTGTGTCCTCTGCAGCGATCGCACAATTGTACGTCTTATCCTCCTCCACAGCCTCATTGCGACTGCTTTCTCTTTCAATCGTAGGGCCAATATCATTCAGAATGCGAGCGCTGATTCCCTTGATGTAGCGGGGACATTTGTCAACCACTAGACAATTTCTGTTAAATAGAATGTTGGCGATTGCACATGTCCCGGATCCAGAAAAGTCGTCAATGATATAAGCGTTAGGAGGGGAGAATTTCTCGATCTACCATGCTTACAAGGCGACGGGCTTCTAGTAAGGACACAACACTTCGAGGTCAGTCGGATGAATATACTTTTTCATAACGACATCGAACAACCTGTAGTTGTGTCTGGGGTCCATGCTGGCAACATTGTAATGAGCCGCCTCTCAAGAACCATTTTGGCTGTAGTAGCCGAGGACACAAAACTCTGTCGCGCTCACAAGACGAGGCCCTCCCGTGTCATCACATTAGGCTTACACCACGTAAACACCTCTTCTCCTGCATTGCAAACTCTCTTGAACGCGCGCCGAACTGAGGGCAGCATATACAGAGAGCAGAATCCTGCGATTGTCCACAAAGGCGGTCCACTGCATACGTCCTTGACGTTCTCAAGGACCTGAACAATGTGCTCCTCAGAAAAAGGAACAGAATCACCAGAGGACATTGGCAGATTAAAGCCGTACGAGAAGTTGCAGGTAATCAAAGAGAAAGGCAACTGCTCTGTCAAGTTTTTCAAGTCCATCATATCGCCTTCCAGAACTTTCACGTTGCCGCAATATTCCTCGTATTTCACCTTCGTCCAGTCCAAGAAGTGAGTAGTAGTTTTTCTATTACGACGAGTTTAGACCTTGATCTGCGACTTTCAGCCTCCCTCTTGTCGTTCAACTCCTTCCACGCCTTCGCTCAAGCAACGTGCTATTGCAAAGCTCGAGGCACATCCGCCTTCTGCTTCCAATTACTAGCGAAAGACTCTAAAACATCCTTGGTTGTGTGGAGTGGGTAAAGTTCTTTGCAACTAGCCCAATCTGCTGACTTTGTTTCTGTTAAGAAGTACTTAACCACGCGACCGTACCTTTTTGCCACCTCAAACTTCTTCCGCATACCATCAATCTACAATTGTTTTGCTGCCACTTGTTCAAGGATGGGAATAACAGACTCGTCAGGAAGAGAACCCATCTCCACCCAGTGCGCCTGTGGCATGTCAGTTGGCTCAGTGACAATTTTTCCGTGTTCCACCTGCGCTCTGGGATTAAAGAAACGCATCACCTGATGTTGAGCTTCAGCAGAATTGAATTTCCTCCGACTTTTCTTCGCTGTCGGTCGAGTTCCTTCTGAGCCACCCACCTCGCTATCATCACTGGACATTTTCCCCTTCTTCGCAGTAGGGACCTTCATTTTCTGGTCCGGGCAATCCCCTTTCAACCACATCTCGAATATCTGCAGCTGAAGGACCCACACTTCCTTGGACCGCATGCAGACCTGGAAATGTGGATCCAACCTCTGCAAAAGATCTTTGTCTGGGTTTGAAAATCCAAATTCCTGCAAGCATACAGTCTTCGTAGCGTCATTCTTTTGGTATCTCATCGATTCAAACACCGCACGCCAACATTTCAGTTTCTGGATGAAACTGAAGTCCTTGTGGAAACCTGCAATGTGATTGTGCTCGTGCGCGATCTTACGAGCTTCCAGGGCGGTGAGGCCGAAGTACATGAAACAATTCGCCTTTTGGAAAGGAGAGACAGTCGGGTGAAGGTTCCTAAGACGTTCTTTGGCCTCCCTTGTGTGTCCCCTACGTAGCACTAAAACACTGTAGTTTCCAGCGAGCAGTTTGTCGACATCCACATTTTCCTTCGTACGAGTCTGCAAGGATCAATCAAGCCAACGTGAGCCAGAGTGTCTGCAAAAAGGTTCCTCTTCATGGATTCCACGATCCGTCGGACCTGCCTCTCCTCGGGCTCGCGAACCTTTAGCGCTTTCTTACCACAAGAGGTCGAAGGAGGCAGGACGTTGGAAGGGTGAACGAGTTGGCGTCAAGCTTCTTGTCATTCGACTCTTTTAATTCCTCCCACATTTGAGAGAACTTCTCAACCTCGTCGTTAGGAGTAAGCTCCTTCGTCACTGACAATTTTTCTTTCGTGTGGTCCTTCCCTTTCGCGGAATTCTTCTCTGCCATTTTCTTCTTTCCCTTTGCAGACTTTGGCTCCTCCGCTTTCTTCTTGCCTTTCGCAGGCTTTGGGGGCATCGCGAACGCTTTCTTCTTCGATTTCGCACATGAGCCCGCATCTGCTACGCAAGTCGATCCAACACACGCTTGGGGCGAATGAAAATGTGACCCTTTCCTCTGCCGTAACCCTGAGGGGGCAGTCCCTTTGGAGACACTCACTCGACCTTTCGCACGTTGGGACGAAGATGGCCCTGAGGTGAGTGACTCTGCTCTCCTCGAAATATGGACCTCCTTACGAAGTGTCGGAAAGGTATATTCTGCGACAGTTTTACAAAATTTCTACAAAGAAACAGCATGATCGAAACAAGGAGTGAGCACGAGACTTCGAAAGTAAAATTATAGCACCAGAATCTGCCAAGAGAATTGTAGTAGCACACTTCAAGAAAAGATTTGTAGCACCAGACTGCAAAAGCAGGATTATAACACTACAGTGGTCAATTGCAATTGTAGCATCGTCCGCTTTCTTCTTACCTTTCGCGGGCTTTGGGGGCATCGCGAACGTTTTCTTCTTCGATTTCGCACATAAGCCCGCATCTGCTACGCCAGTGGATTCAACATACGCTTGGGGCGAATGAAAATGTGACCCTTTCCTCTGCCTTAACCCTGAGGGAGCAGTCCCCTTGGAGACACCCACTCGACCTTTCGCAGGTTGGGACGAAGACGACCCTGAGGTGAGTGAGTCTGCTCTCCTCGAAATGCGGACCTCCTTACAAAGTGTCGGAAAGATATACTCTGCGACAGTTTTACAAAATTTCTGCAAACGAACAGCATGAGCGAAACAAGGAGTGAGCTCGAGACTGCGAAAGTAAAATTATAACACCATAATCTGCCAAAAGAATTGTAGTAGCGCACTTCAAGAAAAAAATTGTAGCACCAGACTGCAAAAGCATGATTCTAGCACTATAGTAGTCAATTGCAATTGTGGCACCGTCCACTTTCTTCCTGCCTTTTGCAGGCTTTGGGGGCATCGCGAACGCTTTCTTCTTCGATTTCGCACATGAGTCTGCATCTGCTGCGCAAGTGGATCCAACACACGCTTGGGGCGAATGAAAATGTGACCCTTTCCTCTGCCTTAACCCTGAAGGAGAAGTCCCGTTGGAGACACTAACTCGACCTTTCACAGGTTGGGACGAAGACGGCCCTGCGGTGAGTGACTCTGCTCTCCTCGAAATACGGACCTCCTTACGAAGTGTCGGAAAGGTATAAGCTGCGAAAGTTTTACAAAATTTCTGCAAAGGAACAGCATGAGCGAAACAAGGAGTGAGCACGAGACTGCAAAAGTAAGATTATAGCACCATAATGTGACAAGAAAATTGTAATAGCGCACTTCAAAAAAAGATTTGTAGCACCAGACTGCAAAAGCAGGATTATAGCACTATAGTAATCAATTGCAATTGTAGCACTTCGAAAGTAATTTTATAACACTATAATCTGAAAAGAGTGAGCACCAGACTGCGAAAGTAAAATTATAGCACCATATAGTATGCCACAAGAGAATTTTTGCAGCGCATTCCAAGAATAGATTTGTAGCACCAACCTGCAAAACCAGGATTATAACACTGTAATCTGAAAGAGAATTATAACAGTAAAATGTAAAAAGAGCACCAGACTGCAAAAGCAGGATTATAACACTGTAATCTGAAAGAGAATTATAACAGTAAAATGTAAAAAGAGCACCAGACTGCAAAACAGGATTATAACACTATAGTAGTCAATGACAATTGTAGCACCATACTGCCAAAACAGTAAGAGCACCTGACTGCGAAAGTAGTCTTATAGCACTATAATGTGAAAAGAGTGAGCACTAGAGTGCGAAAGTAAAATTATAGCACCAGATAGTATGTCAAAAAAGAATTGTAGCAGCGCACTCCAAGAACAGATTTGTAGCACCAGCCTGCACAAGCAGGATTATAGCACTATAATGTGAAAGAGAATTATAACATTATAACGTAAAAAGAGCACCAGACTGCAAAAGCAGGATTATAGCACTACAATGTCAGTTGCAATTGTAGCACCGTACTGCGAAAACAATAAAAGCACCAAACTACGAAAACAGTCTTAAAGCACGATAATGTGAAAAGAGTGAGCACCAGACTGCAAAAATAAAATTAAAGCACCATAATTTCACAAGAGAAATTGTAGCAGCGCACTCCAAGAACAGATTTGTAGCACCAGCCTGCAAAAGCAGGATTATAGGACTATAAGGTGAAAAAGAATTTTAACACTATAATGTAAAAAGAGCACCAGACTGCAAAAGCAGGATTATAGCAGTATAGTAATCAATTGGAATTGTAGCACCGTACTGCGAAAACAGTAAGAGCACTAAATTGTGAAAGTAGTCTTTAGCACTACAATGTGAAAAGAGTGAGCACCAGACTGCGAAAGTAAAATTATAGTACTAGAAAGTAACAAGAGAACTGTGGCAGCGCACTTTAAGAACAGAGTTGTAGCACTAGACTGCAAAAGCAGGATTATAGCACTATAGTGTGAAAAAGAATTAAAACACTATAATGTGCAAAGAGAATTATAACACTGTAATGTGAAACGAGTAATAAAACATTAAAATGTGAAAACAGAATTATAACACTATAATGTGAAAGTAGCATGAAAATGTGAAAAGGGCAGTACAACACTTTGCGGCGAAAATATAATTGTAGCACTATATTACGAAAAAAGCAAGGAACTACATGTGAAAGTAGAGCACCAGTTTGTGAAAATAGAATTATAACACTCTAATGTGAAAAGAGCATTAAAGCACTTCAATATGAAAAAAACATTACAACACTTCACCGTTATTCACTGAAATAAAGAGACCTTCCTCAAACAAACAGTCGTATCTTAAAGCCCTTTTGATTCACCTTTTTGATATGAGAATTTTGCTTCTGCTCCCAAACAACCATGCTTGCATGACGCAGAACCGAACTTAGTCAATTGCGTCCCCACATTCACCCAAGCAAGTGCCAGATCCTCGATGCTGTCACGTGAAGAGGCGAAGTATATCAGATCCCTGCAAAGTTTGAATTTCTCTTTGTCTGCATGTTTGGTCCACAGTTCCACAGCCGATTGGAACAGCACAATGTCCCACAGGCAAGAGATAATTCCTCGGACTGCTTTGCGCTCTTCAAAAACTTGTCGATGTTCACAATTCTTTTCACCTTTTCTTCTTCAGCAGTCCGCTCGAAGACATCTTCGTCTTCTTCCTCGTCTCCATCTTCTTCATCCTCGTCACCCTCCTCACCCTCATCTATTTCTTCCTCACCCTCGTCACCCTCCTCACCCTCCTCATCCTCCTCTACTTCCTCTTCCTCCTCCCGACCAAGAGTGTCTTCTTTGGATTCAGTCACTTCAAAGTGAGCCTGGAAAGCAGGTTTTTTCTCGACATCAGCGCTATACTGCAAAGTGGGGATTTCAAACACACCCTCAAAATCAACAGGGGCGCCCTGGCTGCGCCTTCCAATACTTGTTGAGGTCCCTGATATGTCCTTGATCCTCAACGAGTTTCCCTTCGACTTCGTAATTTTTTATGCTCTCATACATGGAGCACAGAAAATCAAAAGTCCCAACCCTAGACAAAAGAAACCCCATGCAGGTTAGTAGAGGTCAAAGTGTACGGCAACGAGATCAAGCACAGAGGTCAAAGTCTCACGCCGAGAGGGACCAAGTCAGCGAGTTTCAGAAAAGGTAAGTCGGGTCCCTTGGGGATCAAGTCCAACAGGCACCAGGTCAACAAGCACAAGGCTCATCGAACAGGCAAAAGTCACGTCTCATATTGGAAGGTCATATCCCACAGGTACTGTACACAGAGAGAGAGAGAGAGAGAGAGAGAGAGAGAGACCGCAGTAATCGCGAGCAGACAAGTTAAAGAGGATTAGACCAGCTAGCTATTCGAGACCAGACACGAAGAGAGAGAGAGAGAGAGAGAGAGAGAGAGAGAGAGAGAGAGAGAGAGAAGAGAGGCGGAGAGGATTACATGAGCTAGCTATTCGAGACCAGACGCGAAGAGAGAGAGAGAGAGAGAGAGAGAGAGAGAGAGAGAGAGAGAGAGAGAGAGAGACAGAGAGAGAAAGAGAGAGATAAAAAAAAAGGGGAAGGAGAGAGAAAGGCAGAAAATTAAAATAACAAAAAGGAAGGCAGTTGTAATCTTCCCCCGAATAGAACTCACGGTAATGTACCGTATTTAGGGCAACAGTCAGCCCAGATACAGCAATAATGATCGTGCGTTCTATTCGAGGTGAGGACATACGGTACCGTAAGAATACAAGAATAATAAGACATAAGAAAACAAGCAGGAATATATATTAAATAACCAAAGGATAGCCATGCAAAAGCAATCAAGAGCAAAAATGAAATTCAAAATAATAATTAATATTAATAAAAGAAAGAACGAAAATGGAATCCACCATGCGGTTTTGGACAAGTGAAAACAGGTTTTTTTATATTATTTACAACTTTACATTACTTAATAATATTTAATATGAATATGACTTTAATCGTAGTCAATGTAACGTTTCTACAAACGACTGAAACGATACATAAAATCAATTCACATCAATAACACGTCTTCGCTGCTAACGGTGACACCATCATAGATATGAGCGACGACCTTTTTTTTTTCCTTTTTTTTTTTTTTTTTTTTTTTTTCCTTTTTTTTTCCTTTTTTTTCGCGTGTATGTGTGTTAGGTGGGGAGAGAGATGGGAGAGGGAGGGATTAAATGACAGATACCGACATACGCATGTTAACGAACTCATGAAACAGGAAGTCGAGAGCTCTAATCCTGCAACGCATTCTGCTCCAGTAAGAACTAAATTAAGACAGAATAATTAGTAAGTTAATAATAATTTCCTAATTTCATTCCTCCCCCCTTAGGAGTTGTTTATGGTTGTTTATAGTTGTACTTTTACGTTGATTGCTGTACAAATTAGTACATAGTTGTAGTATATAGTTGTACCAAGGTTGCTGTATAAATTAGTATATAGCTGATCACTGCCTGCTTAGCATCTTACCTCTAACCGTTCCCTAGGTCCCTACCTAGTACATGACTAAGATCAAAAGTACACCCTTGCCTGTACCTAACCTCAAGGTCGCTACCAAGTAATTAGCTAAGTCTCGGTACAAATTAGTATATAGCTGATCACTACCTGCTTAGCATCCTACCTCTAACCGTTCCCTAGGTCCCTATCTAGTACATGACTAAGCTCAAAAGTACACCCTTGCCTGTACCTAACCTCAAGGTCCCTACCCAGTCCTTAGCTAAGTCTCGAAACACAGTCCTTGCTAAGCCTATCTGCTGCCTGAGTACCGAAGCACAGTCCTACCTCTAACAGGTCACAAAGTCCATACCTACTACCTAGTAGATGACTGAGTTCCGAAGAACACCCATGCATGTACCTACCCACTAAGCAATTACTTAATACTCGACTATGCCTCAAAACACAGTACTATCTAAGCTGGCACTCCCGCCCCTACATAGACAATAACCTACCTCGAGACATCGTCCTACCTAAACCCACACTGAGACATCGTCCTACCTAAACCCACACTCCCCCGCACTCACCTAGAATTAGTCTGAGCACACATCTACCCACCGACTTATATCTGATCACTACCTGCTTACTTGGACAATTTTGGGCACAGATCTTACTACCAACCTATATCTAATCGCTATCTTACATCAAAACCAAGCAAGGCGATCCCCCCCCCCCCCACCACCACACACACACACACACACATACACACACGGACACTTGTGCACACGCAGTCGAAAGCGAGAGAGCGTGTGTGCACGTTAGGACAGTTGAGAAAGGAGGGTGAAAGAGAAATGCATGCTTGTGAGAGAGGAGCATACTCTCTGAGCGCAAGCGAGGGAGCAAAAGAGAAGGAACTGGAAGAAGGTGAAGGAGCGAGAGCAAGAGAAAGGGTCGTAACGCCCAAACGAGCAAACCAAAGCAATATCACACTTTCGTGACTAGGCAACAGGTTCGACTAGCATATGCCCCAGAGAGAGATCCTCTGCAGAGGGCAAGTCATTGTGCGTGTGTGTGTGTGTGTGTGTGTGTGTGTGTGTGTGTGTGTGTGTGTGTGTGTATGCGTGCGTGGGTGCGTGGGTGCGTGTGTGCATGTGTGTTAAAGACGTATAAATCAGCCTCAACATGGTAAAGACGAATGGTTCGCTGTATTCTCATTAGCTCGCTGGGCCTCAGTGTAGGGCGGGCACGGGGCTTGCTGGGGGCCACAGCCCAGAACATGTGAATGTTGGCTAGGGCCCCTTGAGGGTGTGTTCCTCACAAAACAGACTGTATTTTAAAAAGAAGGGAAAAAAAGAATCTCCTCAAGGCGCTGACTGGATACAACATGCCCAACGGTTATCCTTTTTGAATGAAATTTATTGGAGCTTAATAAATTATCATAAAATATCTTTGACACGGCAACGACACGCCAAACGACTTTTCCAGTGCCCTCTCTTTTTTAATGAAATTATTATTAAAATTATTTTGTTCGAGCTTAATTCCCAGTGTTCTGTCTTGGCCAATCTCTAGAGGTCACATCTTTTTGAGTTCCTTTTTAACTTTTCTAGAGGACAGAATCATGTTTGGTCAGTGGAGAGGTGACAGCCAAACTCAACCACACAACGGTGAACAACCAAACTCAACCACACACAACGTAGAGATGCCAAGAAGAAGATCTCATCTCACAAACATTGCCATGGACTCAGGATAGGATCTATTCGAACAGAACACACCCTATGCTAGGAGTCGATTCAAACAGAACGCATCATTAGGTCACATCTTTCTGAGTTCTTTTTTTACTTCTCTGGATGACAGAATCATGTTTGGTCAATGGAGAGGTGGCAGTCAAACTCAACCACACAACAATGAACAACCAAACTCAACCACGCAACATAGAGATGCCAAGAAGCAGATCTCATCTCACAACCATTGTCATGGACTCAGGATAGGGTCAATTCGAACAGAACACACCATATGTTATGAGTCTATTCAAACAAAATGCACCATTTGCTTTGCATTCGTTTACAATGCGTATGTTTTATGTTCGGGCGAAGAAACTAGTCTGTCATAGACTCTTAGCCATAAAACCAACTCTGTACGCCCGCTCAGAGAGAGAGAGAGAGAGAGAGAGAGAGAGAGAGAGAGAGAGAGAGTCAGCACCTCCCCCAAAGATCTCACCTATCACACATGCCAGCAAACACAACACCTGACCGGTAAGAGCCCTGTTCTACTTCTCGGGAAACAGAGAGACACATAGATGACTCTCTCTTTGGGGGGCTGCTCCTATCACCACCAATCCCACCCCAGACAGTGTGTTAAAAGGGAAAAAAAAAAAAAAAAAAAAAGGGCGGACAGAATCAGAGAGTACCTTTTTTTTTAGTTTTTTTTTATAGCACAATCTTGCAAACCACAAAAGAAGAAACTGTTCATACATCAAAAGTCAGATGTCATACAACACTACCGAATGTTGATCAATGCAGGAATCAAACCCATCTACATTCGGTCAAGTATCATCATCATCATCATCATCATGACCTCATAACAGCTACTGCTCAGGCACGGTGAACATAACACAGGGGCCTATCGAAGTTCATTGCTAGAAATTCCGTACTGGTCAGCATGTCTCTGTCGGTCGTACATTTGTCCAATGCATACACCTGGAGACATGTCTCTGTCCGTTGTATGGACATCATGTCTCTGTCGCAGACTGTCGGTCGTACATTTGTCCGTACATCTGGACTCTCGGCCAACTTGGGTAACCCTTCGTCCTACCCCTTTAAGTTTTTCTAAAATTGCACAGAAATCTCCCCTGTGGAGCTCAAATCCAATCATAGCCACCTACGAATTTGTTCCCAAACCGATCAAATTATCAAAGTCCCAGTTCAGAAACCCGGGCCACATGAAATTTTAAAATTTGACATTTCAATATTTTTAAAATTGCCCCCACAAAAATATACGTCAGCCCCGCTGTAGCCGACTAAACAAAAATCTACATCAGTGTCTGCTGTAGCCGACTAAACAAAAAAAATCTACGTCAATGTCTGCTGTAGCCGACCAATCAAACCAACCCTCCAAGCTCAGCATTTCCAGTTTACAATTTTACGTCCTTCTGCGAGACTCAGATGAACACACAAACAGACAGCTGACTCAGAGTACAGTCTGTGACACTCCGACAGCCCAGTGGCACTCAAGAGTCAAAACTAATCCGAATAGACTCAATAGAGTTCAATAGACATATGATAGATTCATAATAGATGAGCTATACTTCTCTATTCCTCTCAAAGAAATCTAAAATTGAAGCAAAATCTCAAAGAAATCTGAGCCCCAACTTGAACCGAGGCAAAACCCGGAATCTGCTCAGCAAAAAATCTCTGATTTTTTATTAAAAAAAAAAAAAAAAAAACTCAGATTGCTCAGACTAAAAACTGTTCGGGTTATTCATTGCAAGTTGCAACTGCCTTCCTCACACAACCATCCCCCACCTCCCTCAACTCCCCCCTCCCCCCCCCCCCCCCCCCCCTCCCCCCCCCCCCCCCTCCTCACCCCCCTCCCTCAATGATTGCAATCCTTTGCATCTCAC